GGGGGCTGCCGGGGGCTGCCGGGGGCTGCCGGGGGCTGACGGCGGGCCGTGTGTTTCGACACGAGCCGACAGGCGGTTAGGCGCGATGCTCCTGGAGGTGGTTTTGAGTGGCGCGGCAGGCGGCGGTGGTGACACGCCGGGGACGACGCCATGGCGACGCCCACGCCCCCCACGCCGCCGTCGGCAGTCTGCCTCCAGTCTGGCGCCCGGCGTCCGCCATGCGTCCGCGGACGTCGCCGTCGTTGGCTTTTCGGTGCGCGAATTTTTCCAGGCAGAGAGGCCGAGGGGCTGCTGTTGTCCGAGAGGCAGTAACACAGCCTCCTCCTGCGTGCGAGGGGCGGGGGGGGGGGCAGCGCTGATGGCGGCGGAAGCCTCCAGCTTCGGCCGGGCTAGTCCAGGCCTCGTCCAGGCCTCGTCCAGGCCGCGCCGTCCGGGGGAAACTTCCGGCCAGGAGTAAGAGCCGCCACCGGGCGCCACCCCTTGCACACCCTCACGTGCCTCTCATCTTTTACTCCTGTTCCAGTTCCTCCCGAGGAGGTTCCCCCGCCCCAATCTCTCTCTGTCTCTCGACGAGTTGCGTGGTTGGCGGGAAACGGGACGACCACGCGCGTTATCCGCACTGCTCTCGTTGCAACTAACAACTGCATTCCCCTCCCCTCCCTGGCGGCAGTGTCGCACCACTCCTTCCCGCAATGTTCCGACTGGCTTCCCCCCCCCCCCACTCACACACTCACTCGCACACGCACACGCTCCCTGGGGGTTGCACGACACGGTAGGGCATTGCCAAGCGATTCCCGGCAATCGAAAATGATTTGGACCGCAGCGTTCGGCCATTAACGGCCTTCCCTCCGGGCTGTAGGACCTACAGTGTGGGGCCGCAGGGCGCCGCAGGGGGGCTTGTTGGGGCGACGCTCTCGTTGGCAACGCGCTCTTGTTTGTCGAATTGCAGCATCCGCAGCTGCAGCCGCTGCAGCCGGGCCGAAATCGGATTGGGCGCTGCTGCGCCGAATGCCGACTGACTGCGGAGCTGATTGGCTGAGGGCCGCGCGCCGCGCCTCCCATAAACCGACAATCACTTTACTTCGGAACGTGGAATAATTTCGTCCCCCGCCCCCGGCCCGTGGCATCGAACTACAAGCATTTTGCGGTGTAGGTGCAAAGCGCGCCAGTGGCTTTTCCCGCGTGAAAGGAGTAAAGCAGCGGGTCGTTTCTCTCGGCACCTTGACCCCCACCCCCACCCCCGCCCCACGCTGGTCTGTCTGTGCACTGGAATTCCCCAGCCCCCGGCATGACAGCCATGTGCGAGAGTGTGTTTGCGTGCGCATGGGAGGGCGTGTATGCGTGCACCTTTTTTTTTCTTCTTCTCGCGATCTGCTCTCTGTTTTCTTTCATTTTGTTCCACGCTGGTTCGTCTGCCCCGCTGCACGTGTGCCCGGCGGGGCGGGCCAAGGGCGGGCCGGGCCAGGCAGCAGGCAGCGCAGCCAGACGCGAACAACAAACCCGCCGAACCCGCTGCGTCGCAGCCCGGCGAGGGAAATCCCCCGAAAGATGGCTTGTCGTGCCGCCGACGCCGTAAAACCCGCCATTTTATGTGCGAATTGATCCAGTTTAAACCCCGCGCCCCTCCGGCCTCCGGCCCGCCCCAAACCCGCGCCCCCACGGCCACCGTATCTCACCCGCCTTAGGCCGCGTCAGGCACGTTCAAGGACACCTTCGAGAAGGCGCGAGGCCGTTCATTCGGGGGGATGATTCCGAACGTCGCTCTGTCTCTCTCGCACTCCTCCGGGAACCCCCGTGAGTGCGAGAGAGACAGAGAAAGAGAGCGACGAAAGGGCCGTTGGCAGTGCATCGCGGCATCGCGGCCGCATCCGCAGGGCCTCGCACTCGTTACCGTAACAGCCCGGATGTCTGATTTCCCCCTCCCCTCCCTCTCCTTCTTCTCCTTCCTTTTTTGGGCTCATCCGACGAGCGCCACCGCCCCTTGTAAATCAAGGAAGTTTCTCCTCGGGACCCGGCGCGTCTTTCAGAGAGCAACAACTTGGCCTGAGGAAAAAGTTTCAATACTGCGCGGGCGACTTTTGATGGGTAGACGGCGTGTGGCGTGGCGGCCCGCCGGCCCGGGACCAATACCAATATGACGAAGACGAATTCCAATGCGTATTTGCTCAGACGATTATTCATGGCTTTCGAGGCTCAGCGGGAGAAGTTGGCAGCACTGACAGTCTGCCAGGCCCGAGGCCAGGCCCCCGCGGCGGTGTGGCGGCCCCGTCCAGCCCCGTCGCCCTGCAGCCGGCGCAGCACCGCGCAGCAGCCAGACTCCAGCGGACTCCAGACGGCGGCGCGCCGACTTACACAATAAACACGACCTCAATACATTCCCCATTCCCATTTCAATGTTTACCGTCCAGAAATGTGCGCCCGGCATTCTGGGGCGACCCTTTGCTGGAATGACGACGCCTGGGGCAAGCCTGGGGCAAGCCTGGGGCATACCGAAGGCCGAGGGCGGCCGGGCGCCGCCGTGGCGGCCACCAGGGGGAGGGGGGGGGGAGGGGAGGGGCGTCGGCGACGGGGCTCTGCGGTCCGCGACCGCCGTTGCCTTTCAGAGGTGAGCGCGGAGCGGGGTGCTGAGTGCGGGCCACTGGCAGGCGGCTGTGGGGCTGTGGGGGCCCGGCCGAGGCGGAGCGTCAACCCGGCGGCGGGGCCGGGCGGGGCCGGGCGGGGCCAGGCGGGGCCCCTTCTGGCCCAATGGCAGCTCGTGCCCCCGCTGGCCCCCATCCAACTACAATGGAATGGCACGGGGACGATGGCCAGGGTGGCGGCCAGGACGGCCACCGCCAGGCGGTCCAGGCGGTCCAGGCCGTCCTCCTCCGCGCGACGTCGCCACACCCTGCGCGACGGGCCATCGGCAAGCATCGGGCGGAGACGCTAGGCGACGCGGGCCGGGAGAAATAGCACACGGATCAAGTGGCAAGGGCGGCACGAGCAGCGAAACCGGAGTCAAAAGGATGAAAAATCATTTCTGCCATGTGCTGTTGCGGACGTTAACGACGTTGGCGGGAAACTCGCGCTTTGCCGCCAAAACCTCAAACTTTGCCCAAGCCGCGGATGGCTGCGAGGCGGGGCGGCGTGCTGCTGCGTTGCTGAATCCACGCACGCACCCGCCCCGCCCCACCCCGCCCCGCCCCGGCATCGCGATCGGTGCTTATCGGGCGTGCCGCCACGTTAACTCGAGGTAAAGTAGCCCCCCACCCTTCCCCCACAAACACTTCGTGCATCGCCTAAGGAGATACGCACTATGAATTCCCGAGTGTCATTTTATTTTCTGCATCACAGCGCACGTTTCTACTCAGGGGTGTTGACACCTCTCAGTAGACCTTAAACAAGCAGTCGTTTCGAAAAGACTCTCTTCCAGGCTCCTTAAATATATATTTTTTAAAGTTAGGAGAAATATTCTAGACGCATTTTTCTTTCCATTTTCAAATTTCAAATTTCTGGAAGTACATTATTACGTCATTCTCCTGACTTTTTTAAAGGTAGGTCAACTGATCCACCCCGCTACACTGTCCCAAAATTCTTCCATTCAATTAAGAAAAGTTTACCGTGTTGTTTTAATTATTTTTTTTATTCCGTTGAAACAAAAAATGTTCCAGCAACAGAGATTACTCACGATTCCCGGACTTAGTCAATTAGTCCAGGGCCCACGACCCGCTAAGTGCCCCGCAGTCCTTATAGTCCGGCGCAGAGCAATCCAACAGCATATATGTGTCCCGGTAGAGGCGTTGTTCCTTTGCAGCAATCCCCGCGTGGTTACAACGGTCCGGACTAGGTCGGCGCCCGCTCTCTCTCTCTCTCTCTCTCTCTCTCTCTCTCTCTCTCTCTCTCTCTCTCTCTCTCTCTCTCTCTCTCTCTCTCTCTCTCTCTCTCTCTCTCTCACGCACACATGCACATCAAGCACGCTCTGGGGGAGCCACGACGCCAGCGCGGTCTGAGAACCGCCTTTACTATGGGGCGTAACTCGGCCAGACGGTCAAATAAAACAGGCAAGGAGTCGGAAACGGAGCGACTCGGCGTGACGCCGCACTGTCGCACGCCACACACCGTCCGTCACGTCTGTCACGCCCTCGCTGTGCGTGACGCCTTCGTCACAGTGCGTCCCGCCGCCGTCACGGCGGGCCACAAGTGCGTCACTTCGTTGTCACAGTGCGTCACGGCTTCGTCACAGTGCGTCGCTCCTTCGTCACAGTGCGTCACGGCTTCGTCACAGTGCGTCGCTTCTTCGTCACAGTGCGTCGCTCCTTCGTCACAATGCGTCGCTCCTTCGTCACAGTGCGTCACTCCCGCTCTGTCGTCACAGTGGTGCGGGCGGCCTTTTGTATCGCGGGCCGCGGGGGCCGCGGGGGCGGCCGATACCGCGGCTCTGCCATTCTCCCCCGCCCCGCCGCCCCCGCCGCCCCTCCTCCGTGAAAGGATGAAATGGGCCGAGAGAATCCGGCATAAAGGGCGGTGGCCGCGCGTAGCCGTGAAATGTTGCGATAGAGGGTGCAGGTGTTTTTATGGGCCACAACCGAGGCCGGGCCGCCAGGCAGCCTCGCCAATGGCACGCTGTGATTGGCTGGAATAATTCCATCCCGGCTCCGTCCCGGCCCCGGCCCGGCCGGCCCCCCTGAGTACCTGGAGCGGCCCGGAGCGGCCCGGAGCGGCCTGGAGGGTGTCGCACTGTAAGCCCCCTGCGACCCGCCAGCTGCCGGCGTCGTCGTCCGCACACGCGCTCGCTAGCTCGCTAGGCGGTTAGGCATTTGCAGGCATCTGTTCTGGTGGCGGTGGCGAGGCGAGCGAGCAGAGCCAGCAGGGCTGGCAGCGGATGGCGCCTAGTGGTGTGGTGGCGTAGCCGGGCGTAGCCGGGCGTAGCAGCACTTAGGCGGTGCGGCGCGGCACTACGGGGTGGCTCCGTCGCCTACGTCACTACCGTGCCCGGGGCATGCCCCGCCGAACGGACTCACCGGATGCCATCTTTGTCGCCGCTCCTCAACACATCAACGCATACCCGACGTGTCACTCACGTGCCACTCGCGTGTCACTCTCTCCGTCACTCACTTTGTCACTCCGGTGCACTCGCGCGCGCGCGTCCGTCGCAGGTGCGGCGTGTCCGGTCGTGTCACTGTGGGTCGCGCGCGTCGGCGAGCATGTCGTGGTCGCGGTGGCGCGGCTCAGACGGCTCGCAGACGGGCCGTCGCGTCGCGTCGCGGGGTATTCACCGCAGCGGCCCGGCCGGGATGACTCCAGACTCCGCAGCGGCGCGGCGCGCGGGGTGGCGCGGTGCGGCGCGTCGCGGTGTGGGCTACCTTGCCGCTGCTGCGGGGGAGGGCGAGCCGAGCCTAGCCGAGCCTAGCCGAGCCCGGCCTGTCTGGTCTGGCTGCGTGGGGCGCGCACTGGTCCACGACTCCAGCTCCTCTCGCCGGGCTCCAGTCTCCAGCTCCGGTCCGGCCGCCGCTCCAGCGTCGCTCCAGCGCCCTCTGTGGGGCGCCGCCGCAGCCTCCGCCCCCACCTACCCAGCCCCCCCCCCCCCCACCTCGCCACCCCCGCCCAGCCCCGGGGCGCGGCGGTGGAGCCAGGTGGAGCGGCGCCGCAGCCTGCCGGTGCACCGCAGGCACCGGCAGGCACTGCACCGGCAGGCACTGCACTACACCCAACTAAAAAGACGAACGCTGTGCTACGCTGTGCTAGGCTGTGCTACGCTGTGCCGCGCGAGGCTGCCCTGCCCGGCCCTGCCCGCTGCAGGCCTCCGCTCGGTACAAGCGCTCATTAAGGTCAAAGGTGACCCCATCGACGGTCGCAGAGCCGCAGAGCCGCGGCGTTTCCCGGCATCGCGCTGCATCATGCCGCGGCGCTCTGTCTCTCTCGCACTCACGGGGCGTCACGTATAGGTACGAGAGAGACAGAGCGTCGACTCTCGGAATCGGCCTGCTGAGCGCCTCACGACTTCAGCCTCGACTTCAGCGCACGCCGAGGCCGGGGCGAGCATGCACGACGCCATTCATTTCGAAAAAAGAGTGTCCACACGAGCAAACATTAATAACATGCACACACACACAAACTTCCGTTTTAAAGAAATAAAATAAACTTTGGGTTACTTCTGCACATGTGACCCCGCAAGCAGTCCCAAGACACTTGCCCGGTGACACATGCGTGAGCGATTGGCGACGACGGGAAGTGTCATCGGGGACGGCTAGTCAACGTGCTCTGTCATTCGCAGGCAGAGTAGCAGCACAGCACGTCGCGGCTACAAGTTCTCGTGTTTGCTTACTTTTTTTTCTTTTTTTTTTGGTAGAACCTTCAAGTTTTGGTGATACATCTCTCTTTTTTTGTCGATGCGTTGTACGATGCGGCGACTCCGTTCATATCAACCGCCGTTTCCGCACGTTTCCGCACCAGTCAGGTCCGCGTCCTGATTGGCCGTAGCAGACGACGGCAGCCATGCCCCGCGAAAAGCCTTCTTCTTTCCTTCCTCTTCTTTCGACATTAAAATATCCCAAATATCCTAATTAGCGATCAATTGCACGTTCATTTGTAAATAAAAATATTTTTCAAAGCACAAAAGTATCAAAATGATACGAATACTCGGTAATAATGACTGTCAAAAAATTCCTGGAATGTTTTAGAAGTGAAATAGCAGGCACTGACATGTGGTTTGGCGGGAAGATACCTGAGGAGTTGTCGTCGTAGCTGTGTTATTGTGTTGCCTTAAATCGTTGAAGTTTGAATTTTGCCAAGATTTTTTGACAAAATTATTCATTGCTTTAGAAAAAAGAAAAATCGGTGATTTATGCATGTTAATTCACCTTTCATCTTTGATGCGCCGTTTATGAGTCTGGTTGAAATTGAACCCTGCTTTGCTCTCTCGCGCTTCCATGAGTGACTTATTATGAAGGTTAAGCCCCTTTTAAATTTCGTATGAACGCAAGTTTCTTTTAGTTTTCTCAAGACTTCGAAGATGGATTCAAGTTCAGAAGATGAGAGTGTTTTCAACCGTCGTAAATCTTCAAGTAAAAAGATATTTGATAGTGATGATGAGGCTGCTGGTGAAGCCGATGATAATTTGAAAGAAGCCACTGAAGATTTTACTCTCCACCTATCTGATGAAGAAGATGATGAGGATGGTGCTTCCGTGAAAGCAAATATTGAAGCAGCTCTTGCTCAGGAAGAAGCTTCTGCTGAAAATGCACATGATGTCAAAGAGGATTCCAAAGATGAAAGTAGGGGAGACAGCTCAAGGCTTGACAACAAAGAGATGAAATCCAATGCTGCTCAAAAGTCAATAAACCCATCAGGAAATTTAGACACAGCAGATATTATGAAAAAGCTAAGTGCCTTGGCTGATTCCGATTCAGAGTCTGATATTGATGGTGATCTAGAACCTTTACCAACAAGTATTAAGAAGAGCAATTCGAAATCAAAGAGCTGCATAGCTTCAGAGTCAGATGATTCAGGTAATGAAAGGAGTCAAAGCCATTCAGATGATGAAACTAAAGAAGCAGTTTTGTCGTCCAAAGGCAAGCAACGTAAATCTGCTCCAGAGAGAAAAAGTAAAACAAAAGCCAAAGATGCAATGCTTGAGATAAAAGCCGAAAGTCAGAGGCAGTTGCGACAGTCTAACATTGGTTTGCCATATCATGTTCCCAAGCAACGGTCGCTTTTAGACTTCTTAAACAGACGCAAGCCTGCATCTTCAATGCCCATTCGGGGACCTGTTGAGCAACTGGCAACGGTTTGGTAAGTAACTTCTTTTTATTTCCCTTCTGCCAGTTAAACTTGTTCTGTAGCAGGCTTTAAGATTGCATTTCTTCTCTTTTCCAGGAAGCAGATAGAAGACAGGGAGAAAGAAGTTGAAGACTTTTATAAGTCTGAATCTGAACATGAAAGTGACGAAGAGGAAACTACCCAAGAAGTAGAGCAAAGTGAAGAAGGTACCGAGCCAGCTGAACAAGTTGAAGGCAAATCTCTAGATCCAAGTCAATCAGATACTCATCAATTAACAACTGCAGTTCTAGGAGACAGTGGTGTGGAGGCAGATTTCTCTGGAGCACAGTCAAGCACAGAACCTAACTCTGACATTATTGATGACACTGAGAGTGAGCAAACAACTTCAATCTGCTGTCAGGAGAGCATGGATTTCAAAACTACTACAGAGGTAGACACTGACAGAGTGCAATCTCCTGTTGGTACTGATTTTTGTGTCGAGGAGAACTCTTCAGGGGTTTCACCAGATGATGCATGTGCTAAGAAAGTGCAAGAGGTGGATGAGTTCCCTGTCAAAGACGATAATGTGAAAATTGGAAATGAAACTCAAGACTCCCAAGACATAAGCCTGCATTTCACTGAAACTGAGAGAAACACCCAAGGTATTCTGAAAACACAAGAGTCCCAAGACATTACCCTGCACTTCTCTGAAACTGAGAGAAATGTTGAGGGTGCTTTCAAAACTCAAGATTCTCAAGACATTAGCCTGCACTACACTGAAACTGAGAGCCTCATAAAAACTGACTTAAAAGGAGTGACCAAAGAAAACCATTTGACCAATGAAATTGCAGTGATGGAAAATAGTTCAAATGCCGGAAACAAACCCAAGGGATCAACATGGGAGGAGCTCAACTCAGCGATGAAAGACTTGGATGATGATGTGAGACTTTCTTTTCAAATGACTTAAGTCTTCATGAATTGGTATTTTACCGGCATGTTTATTTTTACTGAAGTTTTCTTTTATGTTACAGGATTTAGTATCACATGAGATTGTTCCTAAGAAGCTATCACTAGGTTCTGGTCCTCGACTAAGCCTTAAAGGGGCACCCAATGATGTAATAGATTTAGATGGTTCTGTCTCTAATCCTCGAACACCAGGAGTGAAGGGCCTCATTGAAAGATTTATGAAGCATTCCGCCTCCAAAAGAAAAGAAGCTCAAACTGTGGAACTGAGGTATGTTTTGTTATAAATAATAACTTTAGCTAGATGCTGAATTTTTATGAACTAATACCTTGTGTTTGGTTTACTTTTTCCTTATTTAGTGTCATATCATCTGAAAAAGATACAATCGGTGGTGTTGTTGATGTCAAGCATGAATCTTTGAAAGTTGTTCTCACTGCTGAAGAGCCTCGTCGATCTGAAAAAGATGCAACTCCTGGGGCCAGATTAAAACTTCTGAAAACAGAGTTAAATCGACAAATGCGAAAGCAGAAGGGAGAAGAATGGCAGAAAAAGCATGAAGAAATGAAAAATGAACAAGTATTTGATGGTAAGACTTATTTGTTCTGTTCCATTTGGTTACATTAGGACAACTTTCAGTGCCAATTGATAAAGTGCCAAGTAATTGATGTCTATGGATATTATATTTTCTAGGTGAGAAAGATGATTGTGGCATGTTGCCTGATGAAGAGGAAGAGGAAGAAGAAATGACTGACAGCGAAGCAGAATCAGAGCCAGAAATTAATGACGTCAGAGAAAGTAAGAAAAAGAAGAAAGTCAAAAGTGCATATGTTGATGAAGAAGCTGAAGTTAGTGAGGAAGATGGCGGCGATAGAGATGTGGATGAAAGAGAGAGTAGTGATGATGAGAGTGTTGATGAGGGTGATGATGAGGGCAGTGGAAGTGAAGATGACAACAATAAGCATGTTGATGACACCAGTGTAGATGATGAAACAAGCAAATCTAAAATAGACAGTGTAAAAGAATCTTGTTTAGCTCAGACAGAGAATGATGAAACAAGTGGTAAGTGCCTTGAATTGTCTCTGCTCTCATTTCCTTCTTTTAATTGATTTTTTAAACAAATGAGATCCTTATTCTGCTTTCAGATATTGGACCAACTAATAGTTTACGACGAACACTTACATCTGCATCTGCTGATTTATTTGCCTCTCAGTCATCAGTGTGTAAGTTTTAATAATAATTCAGACACCTCTCTAGTATTTTCAAATTGAGCAGTTTCATTCATGTTTTGTTTTCTTGTAGGGAGAGTTGAGGATGATGATGACTTCATTCCTGCTGGTCAGCCTAATGGTGTCACAAGAGATTATTCCTTTATGGACAGGGCTGATGATGGAAAAGAAAGAGAGATGCTTTTTTCTCCAATGAGTCTCACCCTCCCTGAAAAGACTCATAGTTTTATGGTATGCTGGATTGTCTTTGGATACTTCTACCCACTTAATAGTTATCTCAATATTCTAAGTACTACCTTGAACATGTCTTCACACAATGAGACACAATTTTAGACTACACTATCATTTTTTATTTGTTTTCAAGGATACTAGCCAGGAACTCACACCTCAAAAAACATCAATTGATCCGAGGCCCCAAAGCAGCTTGAAGAAGCTTTTTGGGGAAACACAAATTTATAGCACCCAGGACAAGCTAAAAGAAATTGCAGGACTATTTGCAGACAAATTTAATGGTAAAATTCTGCTTATTTTTATCGATCTAATGATCAAGTCATGAAATATGTCATCATTTGAGGTGAAATTTTTGTCGTAGATTCACAGGATAATATATCTGATCTCGCCAATGTGTCGACGGGAGAGTCTGAAACAGACCTTATGGCGCTATGTTCAGGCAAGTTTGTCACGCAGCCACCCAAACCAAAAGATCTGGAAGAAGATGAAGAGCGTGTGCCAGACTCCCAACTATCTCAAACTCAACCTGCTACATCATGGGATCCAGCTTTGGAGAATGGAGACTCAGTTGTAAGAAGTCAATCAATTTACAAATGATGTTTGATTTATTGCTAGCACAAGTTCTTTGACACTCTTTTTTTTTGCAGGATTTTAGTCTGAAGTTTGATGGGGATTCTAAGAATCCAGAAGACATTGTTGAAAAGTGAGTTTTGTCCTGTCAAGTATTTTCCATCAATACATTGTGTCATGTTCCCATTGTTAATTAATTTTATTTTTATTTTTTTTGACAGGCCTAATGAATGTGCAGGAAACTTCAGATTAGAAATTATGTCCTCGGATGATGAAGACAATACTACATTGACTAAAGAAAAGAAAAAGAAACGAAAGAAGCTTGAGTTTTCAGGTAGCCTTTATTGGACAAGAAATACTTAACTGTTGTTTAAAGGTCACACAGTGTACAGTGTCTTTTTTTTCTTGTTGTACAGATGACGAAGATGACGATAACCATAAGAGTGACACAGATCTAGAAGAAAATGAAATTAACAGTGATGAGGAAGAAAAGGAAAAGGAAGAAAAAAATTCTAAGTTATTTGGAATTTTTTCCAAACCATCAAAAGAAATCTTCTATGATTCAGATGAAAATGAGATAGAGCCTGGTGATTTTCTTGAAAAGGAGGCAGAGTTGTCTGAAGAGGATGAGTACAATGGTAGTGATGATGAAGATGAAAAAGGATTGGATCAGCTAGAGATGAATGAAGCAGACAAAGAAGACATTGATCAGGACCTTGTTCGAGAGCAACTTGTCAAAAGTCACATGTAAGTTTTATTATTTCATTTGGTAAGTTTTTACTTTTGCATTCTTGTTTTTCTAATTTTTTTGACATTTTTCACAACTTAGGCAGAAGATGTTAGATGAAGATCGCCGTGATGTACGTATTCTTCAAGAAATGCTTCTGGAAGATGGGGAGTTGCATTCTGATAATGGTGGCAGAGAGCGCCAGTTTCGCTGGAAAAATGTTGGTCAGTATTTTATTCAGTGTCACACTGTTTTCCACCTAGCACTTTGCCAAACTTAATGACACTTGTGTCACTGCTTCTTTGACACTGTTCTGTGTTACAGACTCCACTGGAATGGGTGACGATGGGCATCGCTCTGATGATGAGCATGCTGACAATGATGATGAAGAAGATGATGCTGCATGGCGGAAACAAAGACATGAGCGAGAGATGTTCTTGAGAGAGCAGCGAGAGGTGAGTTGGCTTTTTTATTTAGCGACACCAGATTTGTAACCTAGTGTTCTCTTCATCTGTTTGGGATATATATTTCCTGTCTTAACATTTGTTTATAGAAACAAAAGAAGGAAGCTGGAGGCCATAAAGAGGATGATGATGAGGATGAAGTTCTTGAGAACAGTGAACTTCTTCAGCTGGGTAAATCAATCCTCTTCAAGAACCGTTCCAGTTCATTAGACATGTCTGCTCCCAAAGAAACCCAGCCTCCAAAGTTGACTGCACACAACCCTGTTCTATCTCCAGAAAGAAAAACAGGAAACACATTCCTTGTAAGTGCCGTCACCATGTGCTATATTGTCATTCTATATGTTTGTTGGCTTTCCTCACAATTTGCTGGTCTGTTTGAATATTTTTATTTATCTAATTTTTGTTCCAGTCCAAGCGAGGATCTTTCTTGTCAAGAGGGGATGGTGTCTTGGCAAAGCTTGCCAAAATGACTGGTCCTGCTAAAGAAAATGTTATGTCGGGAGCTAAGAGTAGAGGCAACTTTGTCTTCTCTGCCATTAGTCCGCCGAAGTATGATAGCCAACCTGAAGAGGATGACTCTAAAGTAAGATTACCCATCAGATTTCTTTCTTGTATCTCTGGTTCCATCATAATTCTTTATTTATAATATTTTTTTGGTTTTCAGACATCAAAAAGAAAAGCTACCGCTGGATTAATGAATGCTGAAAAGAAACCATGTTTAGTTACTGCTGCAAGAAAAAGCAGTGGACTCTTTGATCACTTTTGATAATTGTATTTGTTTGGTGTTTGTCCATAACTTTTGAAATGTTGGTGCTGTTTTTCTGCTGAATTTGTGATTTATCTGTGTTCATGTGCAATGCCTTTGACAAGATGTTCTGTTATTTCGTTTCTTTTCTGGTTCTAGTCCAATTTTTATAACCAGAACCTATATACTGTATTTCATTTTGTACTCATAGCAATGCCTTGTAAATTCTGTAAATACTTGCCGACATTAAGCCATGCTCAGAAACCTGTAAATGTGTGTTTTTCTATGACATTGAAAATTAACTTTACCTTTTTTATGCATGTAACTTATGACGTCCTGTTAGTGTATTTCTTAACTTATCTTATCTTTTTTTTTTTTAATGGTTTGTGTGAGGTTTAGTTGCTATTGAAATATGTATTAGTTTATAATTGACTTCTAAAATAGAGTGAATGATGGTGTTCAATTAGCATACTGAAAACTTATCATTTGTGATTACAATGACAATTAAAAGAACTAAACCTTAGTAATTTGCTGTGTTCAATGTAATGATTTCTCCAATTTCTATAATAACAACAACCACAAAGACCAGCTGACTCAGTGACTTTATTTCTTTGGAAACAAGTGGATGGCCAGAATGATTTATCCTAAACTTACTTTACTTACGTAATCAGTGTAACCTTTATCCTGGCTGCTGAATTCTAATTATACTCTACGACTAAACAATTACTACAACACACACACAGGTTTTTTTTTCACATGCTGTGTCGTGCTTCCTACTTTGAGGCTTTGGGTGTCATTTATTTCAATTTCTACTCTGCAGTCATTTTTTAAATAACAAAGCCGTTGTTCAAATAAAAAATGTAAGTAATGCAATGCAACAGCTTTTTCAAAAAACATAAGTACCCTGCCAGAATTAGGTGTTTGAGACGACGTTGATTTGTCAAAGAATCGATGAAAAATCCATCGACTCTACATTGACCCTATGTTGTTTCGAACTCCTAAGCACTGGCTGGGTAGTACGCCTCTGATACATAAAGTTTCTAACATTGCACACCTGTGCTGACCGGCAGGCTTAAACTTACTCAGAAAATAAAACATGGCTGGCTCACGGAACGCGCTAGTTTTACAGCGCTGCGTCCGGGGCTGCCTACCCTGCAGGCGCCACCACTAGGACGGGGCCACGCAAGAAAAACTAGTGGGTTCCGTGCGCCTCTCTCTCTCTCTCTACGACACAAAAAGGAATCAAGAATAAGAACACACATTGACCAGCACTCTAACATCAAGAAATAAAGGGCTTGCCCGGCAAGTTTATCTTCAATTGATTAACAACCATTTCCCAAAAGTGCACTGAAAGGCTATGATATGTAAATACCGTGCTCATTTCAAATGGCACGTGGGAGATCTAGTCACACCTTTCAGCGCTTGGGTGTTAAATTCCTCGGAAAATAGGTTTATTTCATATTTTTAAATATTTGAGACATAACAACAAATTTACTACTGTCGCCACCCAGTGGCGACCTCATTATCTTATTATATAGATAGGCCCATGTCATGTTTGATGGGGAGATAGGTAAGTGCTCAACACATCTTAAAGATATATGCAACTATAAAACTATATAGCAATGCAGATCTGTGGACAGCCTATTATCACTGCTTCCCAACTTTTTTTTCCTTCTCTTGTCACGCACTAGCTTTTGTTTCTCTTTCCCTAAAGGTGTCTCTTTTCATTACTTTTCTCTCTTCGTGTTCTAATCTTTTTTTCTGATGCCAAAGAAAAACTAAGCAATTAAAGGAAGAACCTCTGACCTTACAGATGTCGAGGGTAAACCGACTAATCCAAATCCATCACCAACTGCAATCCTTTTCCTTTTCCAATTATGCAAAGCCGACGTTCATGCCTATCTTAATACTGGCGGTCTTAGCAAATTACTCCTGCCTCTACTTCAGGTCGAGGGCGTCCCCGTGGCTGGGGGTGGGGCTGGGGGTGGGCGGAGGCGGGGCCTCCTGCAGCAAGGTGCGCATGTCCTGGAGGGAGCGCTCCAGGGCGCGGGCGAACGCCGCCGTCGACGTGGTCTCGGCCGAGTGGAATGAAGACAGGCAGAAGACGATGCTGTCGGCCTTGGGGTTGTAGGAAGCGCCGTAGCCATCCGGGACGACGGGGCCGTAGCCCATGAAGCTGTCTGTGGTCGTCGGCACCTGCAGGCGACAAGACCCTGAGCATTTCGCCTCTTTTCCATAAGCAGACTCGAAGGGCGACGGCGGTTCTCACCTGGCTGGTGGACAGCGCGAAGTGGTTGGCCACCCGGTAGGACTCGTCTGTGAACAGCTCCGGCACCGGCTCCCCCAGCTCCTTGGCCACCTCCCGCAGGCCCAGCAGGTGGTTGTCGATGCCGTGGCCGAGGATGTTCTGCACCATGACGTCCGTCTGCTTCTTGATGGCGGCTCTGAACAGCTCTCGCTTTTGGTTGTCCTGCAACAGGTCGGCCGGGGGTTCAGGCGCAGGGAAGACCGTGTCGCTACTCCACGCGCGAGAGCCACGCGGCCGGGAAGACCCCGCGGCGAGGGGTATCGGCGCCAGCGGCGCCAGCACTTACGTCGTACAGGACGAAGGTGACCTTCTTCTCGTCGCCGCCGCTGGTGGTGTCGAGCGGCGGCACGGCGATGGGCGACGCGGCCTGCTGCTTCTGCTGCAGCATGGCGGCGGCCCACTGCCACGCCTCGCACGACGCGCCCCTGATGGCGTCCACGCGGCCGTGGTCGAAGCGGCGCAGCGAGCCGCTCTCGTAGGTGGCGGTGGGCTTGCCGAACAGGCGGATGTAGGCGAGCTGCAGCGCCAGCTGGATGTAGGCGTCCGGGCTGCACTTGCACGACTTCATGAACTCCTTCCCGTACTCGGTGAAGCGGTACACGTAGAAGTCCAGGTCGTCGATCATGCTGCAACAGAAGGACGCCATGGTTCGATTTCTGTGCCCCTGCGAGGGGGCCGCGATTTCTGTCTCGGGCGGTACGACTCGTCATGCATGCATGGCGCTGCGCCGCTACGCCGCTACCTGTCCACGGCCTTGGCAGCCTCCTGCAGGTGGGCGCGCGTCACCGAGTCCACGTTCCAGCCCAGCAGGCGCGGCGGCGGGTTGGCCACCACGGCCGGCGGCGACCTGGGGGCCTCGGTGACGGCGGCCACGGCGGGGTTGGTCGCCTCGCTCAGCATCTTCTCCATGAGCTGGATGACGGCCATGCCCTCGGCCGCCGAGTGCTCGTAGCAGAGGCCGCACACGCCGTCCGAGGAGATGACCAGCTGCAAGCAGGACAGGGGGTTAATCACGAAGACCCGAGATCCACGTAAGGCGCGTGAGGCACGTGAGCTGGGAGCCTTACCTGTATCGTCTTATCGAACCAGCGGTTGCCCGAGTTGGCCTTAGAGCCGCCGCCGTGCAGCATTTGGTGCGCCATGTTGGTCTCGTCGCGGCCCTCGACGGCGTGGCCGCGCGCCGGCAGCGCCCTGGACGAGTTGAAGGCCGTGGTGATGGGGGAGTCCAGGCACAGTATGAACAGCGAACCCTCGATGGCGTCCAACGACGTGCGGTTCACGGGGTCCTCGCGGAGGTGCTGCCGAGCCTCAGCCCACTTGTCCCTTCGCAGTGTGGTGAGCAGGCCGATGGGCGCCGCGGAGGACGCGGGCACCGGCTCGGCCAGGATGGAGGCGAGGCGGCCCGTCAGCGAGTCCTCGCTGACTGGCGGGCCGCCGCCGTCGCCGCGCACCTGTACCACGTAGAACTGCGCCAAGACAAGCCAGTCAGTCCCCGCCCTCGCAACGCGTCCTTCCCCCACAGAACCAAAGCGACAACGAAACTAGAAACCAGATTCGTTCGTAAAACCGATTGGAAAAGGTGGTCGCAACACAACGTCTGCGCAGGCTTCGAGGAAGAGGCTCCCTCGCCAAAATTACAGATAAAATTTAGAGAAATTGAAATGAAAAAAAACTTACACACGGGGCCAACAGAACAGAAAACAATGGCAAGGCATATTGGCGGGCGCACACTAAAGTGCACTAGGGGCGTGTTAACAGTGTAACAGGCATTGGCGGGGACGCTGGGGGACTCCGGGGTCTCTATCAGGCCACACATACTCTGTCGAAGCTGCGTCGAAGCCACTGGAAAATAAAATCAAGAGTAAACAGGTTTCACGCACCGCGCCCTGGGGCACGCTGCGAGACAGGAAGGCGGTCGGGGAGAGAGAGGAGAGAGAGAGAGAGAGAGGCTCGTCTTCTTACCCAATCAAGCGGAGGTACAGCACGCGGTTCGGCGCCCTCAATATTTCAAGGCACACTCTGGAAACGAGAGAATCGAACTGCGTCCGACTCTCTTATTTCGAGAGTTGGCAATTCAAAAGAGCAATACAAGATTGTGAATCTTGCGCCGCTCTCGAATGGATCACGTACTACCTTCAGCGGCGGAGCACAACAGAAAGTCGGCGTTCTGCTTCAAGCGTGGCGGTTTGCTCCGAAAGCCTTGCAGCCAATGGCAGGCAAGCAGACCGTTTCGCCCGGTCCGGTCCGGACCGTTCGGACTTGCCTGGCCGTGGCGAGCCACCACGATGTAGTCGCTGGCGATGTCGGTGGTCACTTGCTGGTCCTTGGGGTTGCCCGGGTTGCGCACCGTCGTCATCAGGCGGTAGAACTGCTTCATGCACAGCGGCTGCCCCTTCTCCCTCGAGGCGGCCCGCTCCACCGGCAGCGCCTTCCTGGAGGAGCAGCGGAGCGGAACGTCGGGGAGGATTCAAAATCGCGTTTCCGGCCAAAAGAAAAAACAAATTGATGGACCTCCCCAGCAAGATCGATTGCGCCTGGCTTTCGCCCTTGGCCTTCGAGTCCTTTCACTATCCTACGCCGCCATGCCCCCCCCCCCCCGCCCCGCCCCGTCTCCCTCTGTGAACGCCCTACGCCCTGTCCTGGAGACCTCTGGCTAACTGGTATTTCGAGCGGTCCCTCGCTCAAAATTAAATGGCGAGAATGGTGGCCAAAATCTGGCAAGGCAAAATTGTCTCGCAGATTCAATCGGAAGGCTCGCGAGACGGTCGCGCGACGACTTCGCCCGGAATGACATCATGCATTGGACAAGGCCAATGAGATAGCGGTGTGCTATCGAACACGCCTCGGAGGCTCCCGGTTCAACCCGGACTGCATCCTTTTTTGTTCTTTTTCTGGTGTTTTTGTTTTGTTTTTGCCGCTAGCGGCAGGCGGCGCCAGGGGGAGGAGGGGCCCCAGCTCGGCTCGACTCGCCACGTTCTGAAAGAACTTTCAGTCTCTGCCGTACTTTTGTGGCGCGGTTTCAAACTCCGGGATACTTTTGCCAAGTTGGGCCCTTGGCTTGGTGTGCCTGGCTGTGCCCTAGGCGTGCCGCCGCCACACTGTCGCGCATTCCATTAAAATGTGTTTATTCGCTGCTCTGCGACGAGTCGCTGCGTCGGCATGGAAGTAGGCCACCGACAACACAGGCGAAAATAAAACGCAAAAATTGTGAAATTACAAGTATATTGTTTTATTGTTATATTACAGAAGTAAAAGTTTGTTGACAGTCTACACTTCAGACAGTTTCACACCGATCCAAGATTCTTGTCTAGGTGGCTACAAAGGAGAATTAAAGGCTCAGCCCCAGAGAGCAGTGACGACATGTGTTCTCAAAATGAAAGATTCTTAGCAATTCTTAACTGTTTTCGTCGGGGGTCACCAGCTGGATGCTGGACGACGATCCATTTAGGGGGTGCCAAAAGGGGGGGGGGCGGTGGTGGTGCGGGGAAAAGAGGGGGCAAAAAAAGAGGGGGAGGGGGACCATTTGGTGTGGTGACAATTTCGAATGACAGACGTTCTCTCCGTGTGTGTGGTTAGAGAAAGTCTACTATGTGCTCTTCATTTATATCAAAGAGAGTGCTAGTTAATTTTTGGAGGTGCTGGGATGATCTTTTTTTCCTGAGAAAGTGGTGTTCCTTTTAACTGAGGGGTGCGTCACGTGTTTCATTTCCAAGCTAACGTTCTAAGGATTTTACTGAATTAAGGTGTTTCTTTTTGCTTGACAAAGTGAGAGTTGAATGAGTGGGGTTGGACATAATAAATAAACGGCCTCGAGCAACGAGTGGTGCGCCCGGAGAATGTGCAGTGCAGGGTTGTGCACATTATTGCGGTATGTGGAGTGAATTTTCCTTGAAAGTACAATAAAAACAAAACCATAAAAAGGAAAGAGAGAAACGAGCAAATATCCTCACTGCGTTCAACGTGACTTGCATGGGAGTAGAAAGTGCCGAAAACAATAAACAAAAGAGAAACACATAAAAAACATGACCATAACAAACGGATATCGGACAATCGAGGAGAAAGAATAATTGAAATCAGTCGACGAGCGAGCAAATGTGCAAATCCGTCAAGTAAGACCTCCGTTCCACAGTAAAAAATTCTTTTAAAAAAAGGTTTTGGTAAGAATACAAAAGCGCAACTTGGAAGCACTGATGGGAATTCAAGGCTTTGTTGGCACATTAGCTCCAGTTGCACACTTGCTCGGACGGCTTCCCATTTTGACACACAAATATCTACGTTTCGTCGAACGAAAACAATAAACCTTGTGACAGGGTGAAACTACACAGCGCTCGATATCGAGTCGTCTCTGGCCGGGCCGCCAAATCGCAGTCGGTTAGAACCTCGCTAACCACAAGGGATCTGGCGCCGGGCACGGTGTCGTCGAGGTGTCGTCGAGGTGTCGCGTTGCATGCCGCTCCGTCAGGGTGTCTTCCAGGAAGCCCGGCGGAGCGCGCGCCTCGTCCTCGGGGCTCAGTACAGGTACTTCTTGTAGTCGCGGTAGCGGTAGTTGCGCCAGTGCAGCGGGTCGCAGTACTCGCACGAATGCAGCGGGCGGTAGTCGTAGTAGTCCCAGTAGTCGCAGTACTTGTAGGGGTAGTAGTAGTCGCCCTTGTAGTCGTAGAGGCGGTCCAGCACGCGGTCGTAGTAGAAGCGGTCCGAGTAGAACCGGTAGCGAGGGTAGTACAGGTCGCAGCCCAGCAGCCGCTTGCGGCGCTCCAGCGTGGTGAGGGCGGTCGTCATGTCGAGGTGGATGGGTGATGGGGCGCGGGCCGCGGCGTGCAAGCGAGTGTCGGCCGGGGGCAGGCTGGCGACGCAACAACCTGCAGCCCCCGGGCACCCCCGGGCCGGCCGCCCCCGGGCCCCCACCACCCGAGGAGGCCTCCGTGGGGTAGGGACTGCCGCCGGAACTCCGTGGGTTAGGTCTTACCCGTGGTGGGGCACGGCGGCAGGGCGCCTCGCCACGCCCCGCCACGCCGCCACCGCACTCGTGACCTACTTCGACCTTGTTGTTTACTGCGCTACTCCTTTCTCGTTTTTTGCATGCCTCGGCGCGCCCCGGTGGCATCGTCCTACCATCGCCCTGCGTTGCTTCTCGGCCGGATCGAGTTACCGCTCTTTTCGCGGAACTCTCTTTTCCTTTCTTTTCGGCAGTGGTTCTGCTCTTTCCCCCGGCGAGGGCACGCGGCCGCGCGGCGCCCCCTCCACCCACACGGCCTTCGCGGCGGCCTTGGGGTCGACGGTGATGTCGCACGCGCCGTCCGGGCAGCCCCCGCCCCTCCGTCCTCCATCAGGCCCTGGAGGGCGACTCCAGCTCGCTCCAGCCTCCGCGAGCCACTCTGGCCAATCCTTTAGTGGCCGACCCTCCTCCAGACCGTCCCATTTGCCTCCAGGGCCCCACTACCCCCACCACCCCCCACCACCCCCACTGCCCCCTCCACTGCCTGGCCGCCAAGCGGCGTGATGAATCGGTGCGATATTAGTTTTCGCCCTGATCCCGCACGGCCGTGCCACCGTGCACGGTGTCGCCGACACGCCACGCCGGGACGCCACGCCACGCCACGCCCCGCTGCGGATCTCCCGCCAGAAATACAATTAACTGGCTGGCGAGCGGCACGCCGCTGCACGCCACGTACAGTCACGCACACTGCGTTAGCCCCGGCGCCTCCTTCCTACACAATACAGTGTCGTCAACGCGAGGCAAAAGAAAACGGCGCCTGGTTTCGCGCTGGTTCCCGCGGCCGAGCTAACGAGGCGAGGACAGAAATATTCTGGCGACTCGGTATCCGATCCGCCGCCGCGCTGTCGCAGACGTCGCACAGCACGATGGGGCCGTACCAGGCTGAGGCCGGGCTGTGCCGCGCCGCCCCACTCCGCCATGCACTCCGCCAAGGACGCCGGGGCTTGTCACGGCATCTGTGGGCAGGGGGAGGGGGATGGGGGAGGCGTGACACGAAGACGCGCCACGCGGCTCTTCCCACGTCAAGCTGCGCGCCTCGCTTTCAACAATAATCGCCCACAGTGCAAATTGTTTGCAGACAGGCCCGCCCGGGCAAAAAAGATTATTGGGTGGTTCGGCCGCATTCTGTTTGATTTTGTTTTGAAAAGGGTAATTTGCTGCTGCGGTTCGAGGCAGGCCTCCGAAAGGACAACATGAACGGGGCCAAAAAATGAAGAGCGGAGGCCGGGATCGAACCCGCGACTTTTGCACTCACTTGTCGAGGACGTCAGTCTGGTGGCGGGCGGCGCTGAGGACCATGCGGGCGGCGAAGCGGGCGCACTCCTCGGCCGTGCGGGCCACGGCGGGCGGGAACACCATGCCGGGGTTGGAGTTGACGGGCAGCGGCAGCGGGTTGTTGAGGTACATGTCGGCCAGCCACCACTCGTACAGCTGCGCGTCAAGAAAAGAAAAAGGTCATCCGGGGCAGCTCTGCGATAAGCCAGGCACACTGCGTCAACCAAGAATCCTGCTGGAAACGGATCAGGAAGCAGTGAGAGAAACAAACGTCACCGACGTTGGAAAACGTTTAAAAGACGATTGCATATCAAGGATGGTAATCGTCTTTGTGTTGGCGATCAGGCGAATGACGTAGTTTGGGGTTAGCTCGGCTACATCCACGTGGAAATCCCCCCCTCCCGATCCCAACCCTTCACAATCTGTTTCTTCATGGCCTCTGGCAGCACGGCGGCTGTGTCTTCATCGACCGCTGGGGTCGATAGTCCCCCCCCCCCCCTCCCCGCCAAGGTGTTCAGCTGTGCACGCGACCGCAGAATAAAAACGCGTTTCGCGTGAATCGGGGAAACTGCGGAGGTGCGCTTTCAGCTTGGCTTTCAGCTTTCCCGCTTTCCGCTTGCAGGCCTCGGCGCCTCGGCCGGGCTGCTCTGCGCATCGCCACGGCGCGGCCTCGCGAGCAGTGTGGCGGCAAACGGCCGGACTACACTTTTCTTTGGAACGGGAAACCGTTGGGGTCAAACTCTCTTTCTCTCTCTCTCTCTCTCTCACTGCCGAAAGCGCGGTCCTGCGTGACTCGGCGCCATGGACAAGTGTTGTAAGAAGCCGGTAAGAAGTTCGCTAAGCCCCAAGGACTGCTCTGGCCCTCGGCCCCCGTCTGCCTGGCGAGCGAAGGACCCAAGGGCCGCAGGGCTGGGCTAGGGCTGCCGCCCGTCCCGCCCGCAGCGGATTACAAAGTGGCAACCCTAGCTGCGTACACGGCAAACTGTGTGCACTGAGGCGCCGACGAGCTCGCCGACGAGCCCCTGCGAAGTCCGGCGTAGGCTGTCCCGCGGCACAGGTCTGTGTGGCGGGCCGGCCTACCCCGCAGGCCGCAGGCGCCCGCCGCGCCCGCCGGGACGCGGACAGAGCGCTCGCCGTGCGGCCGAAACGCAGCGGGAACATCTCTTGATCTCCGAAGAAGAAACAGAAAGAGGGGAATGGAGTGGTGGTCGTCTGGGAGATAAGAACAGG